AGTAACACCTTGAGACAGTGCCATAACAAAACTGTTCCATGAAATAACAGGCAGCAATGCATGCTATACTATTCCTTAAACATTTTATCAATCCTGTTTTATACTGTGAGAAATGTGAAAAATTAAATTAATGGACTTGATTCTATTCTGTATTATATCAGGGTAAATGAAGAGTAACTCTTATAAGTTAGTAGGTTGGTACCTCTTGCATCAAGGTAAATATAGATAATTCATTTTAAACCAATGGGCTTCATTCTAATCTCACTTGTACCCATTTCAGTCCTTGTAATTCCACTGAGTGCATCTACACAAGATGCTTAACTGTGCAATAGTATAGTTTACTACACAGTAAGTGCACGTCTACACATGCACACACTTACTACGCAGTAAAAACCTCTAATTGTGAGTAAATTTCATACCTGAAAATGCAGGTATCAAATTTACTCGTGATTAGTTGCTGTGCAATAATGGACATGTAGACACAACCCAGGAGCAAATTTGCTGCCAGGTCAGCCCTGCCACTAAGGGACCAGCCTGGGTCTAGCCCCACAGCTCTGGGCTGCCTCTATGACCCTGCCTCAGCCCCTGCCTCAGACCTTTAAATGCCTGCAGGCATTTTGAGCCCTGGGGCACACCAGCAGGCAGCCTAAGGTGATTCCAGGCACTGTGTCCCCCTAGACAGCCCACAGGCTAGCCTCACCACCCTGCCTGCACCCCGGTGCCACTGCCTGGCACCACAATGCCATACTCCTGCTAGGCCTGAGCCATCCAAGTCTGTAGGCTGTTGCAGGCTGCTGCAGGCTCCAGCTAGGCCTGCCAGGGACCAGACCCAGTTGCAGGCAGCTTCTGGCTGATGGTACCAGCTCCACCTGCCCACAGCCTACCCCCAGCAGCCTACCAAGCCTGCAGATGCTGCGGGGCATTGCCTCAGCTGTGCGGCTGTCAGTCCTACGTCAGGCCCCTGAGTTGGGTGCTGCAGGCAGTTGCCCGAGTCCGGCAGCACAGCAACAGCTGTGCAGAAGCCCAGAGAGGAGAGCAGGACCCCGAATGGTAATTTCCTTGCTGATGCCCATCCCCATACCTATGCCTGCCATCTGGGGCCCCAACTGATCACAGGGGGAGACTGGCGACCTCATGGCACTGCAGGGCAAGGTGGAGGTGCAGCACCAGTTTAAGCATGGAGGGCACCCCAACAGCCATGTCTATGAGGGGCTGTCAGGCCAGATGCAGGACCATGGGCACAACTGGTCAGTGTGGCAATGCTATATAAGGCCTTGTGGGCACAGTGGGTTCCGATCACCAACTGCAGTCGTCACTTGGGATGTGCCTGTAAGTTCATGCCCTTTATGTGGCAACTGACGGACATCCACGCATCCTGGGACTCAGGCCACAGCTTATGCTATCTACAGCAACACAGGCGGCCTACCTGAGCCCCAACCCTAGCCTGGCACCCATGGTGACATTCCACCAAGGAGGGTCCCTCGGTCTTGCAGTTGCCTGTCCTGCCAAGCTCCCCACCTCCATCCTCCATCAGCAGCTCAGCACCTGTTGCACCAGCTCTGCAGTCCTAGCCAAGAGGCATGGCCAGCCATGACACTGACAGCCACCAGCAGCACCAGCTCTTCCTTACCCCAACCTGAGTGCATGCCTGCCATACCCCACCATTTGAGGATACTGCTCAGAGCCGCACACCATCACCAAAAGCCATGACCACATAGCGCTACCAGCTACACGAGCCCCAGCCACATAGTAAGGCCTGCACTGTGGGAAGGGCCTTCCCTGTCCTGGCCCCTGCACCTGCACCTGCCCCTGGCCCTGGTCCTTGCTCCTGCCCCGCTCCTTGCCCAGCCCACCCACACTCCCCTGGCCCTGGGTTCTCCCCCCTCAGCACATAGGAAGGCAAGAGACAGTGCAAAAAGTTGTTGAGCAGCCCATGCCCCTGCAGCTAGGTGAACACAGGCCTCTCATGCTGAGGAATGTATTGAAGTTGGTGGCAATGTCTACTTGGCAGCAGAGGGCAGAGATGTGTAGCTCAGTCACAGGTAGCCCTCCAGGTGGCAGCGGTTATGGGGCAGTCCAGGCTTGCCCTCCACACCGTCATAGCTTAGGGTCCCATGCCAGGTATGCAGATGTGCCTGTGGCACCATGGCCATCACCAGCAGGGCGTAGTGAGTCAGGCACCCTTCAGTCCATACAAACAGCTCCTCGCATACTGCCCAGGGCACATGAAGAGGGGCACATTCAGGGTGCAGTGGCAGTGCAGGGGGGCTGGCCCCAGGGTGCCTCCCCAGAGAAGACCCCTGTGGGGAGGGTGAGGACATGGGCAGCTCTTCATCCCAGTCATCCAGAAGCCCCACACCCTCCACACCTGGGCATCAAGCACAGCAGAGCTGCTGGCCTGTGGGAGGAGAGCAGAGCAGCAGGGTCTGGAGCTTTGGCGGCAGGTACTGCCAGAAGCCTGGCCTGTCTCATCCGGGGAACAGGGTAGGGGAGGCAGGCTGACTGTGGCCAGCACCCAGTGGCCCGCCAGCCCCAAGGGAGTCAGAGGAGATGGGGGGATTGGCCAGCAGCCACCTGGGCCCAGCCCTACCTGCCTGATTTAGCATGGTTCCTGGGCTCCCATGCATGCCCAACCCCTAATCTGAGGCTGGGCAGCGCATGGCCCCTGGTACTTAGCATTCTCTCTCTAAAATGTTGCAAACTCACACAAAGAGCTTTTTTTCTTTTTTCTTTCTACAGCACCTGCAGCTGCATGTGGGGGAGAGGCTGCACTTGGCAGCCAGGCTGCAGCCTCAGGGTCACCGACACCAACAACTGGGGCCCTGTGGATGTGCTGGCTCCACCAGAGGAGGACCCTGGAAAGGACCCTCTTTCTGGATCACCTGGTCAGGGAGTCAGAGGACTGGCTGGAGGATGCTCAGGCCTTGTGGGTGGAGGACATGGCCCTCCAGGACAGATGGTAAGTGGAGGATGTGGCCATGAAGATGTGCAGGACTAGGTGGACTGGGAGTTCTGGGCGCAGCTCCTGGCCTCAAGTGGCACTGTGGGAGCAGACTGCAGTTCTGGCCAGGGCACTGTAGGCCATGGATGATGACTGCCAGGTGCTGGACACAGTTCTGGTCTTGGCAGTCACCTTTGTGCCACCTGCAGGGAGGCTGCTGTTGTTGCCACAGGTAGTGCTCCTAGTGCCAGGTGTCCTCCATGCACCACACCTCCTCCTGGGGCTCACAGATGTTATGCAGCACACAGGCTGTTATGATTACCAGAGGGAGGTTGTTCTTAGTGAACTCGAGGCAGGTGGTGAGGGTGCACCAGCATCCATCAAGGTGGCCAAAGGCACACTCCATAACGAAACAGGTCCATCCCAGCAGCAGTTAAAGTGGGCCTGGTGGGGGTCCAGTGTAGGGCCACATGAGCTACGGCAGGATCAGGTAGGTGAGGTCTCCAGTGAGGATGGGTTTACCACCATGACGCCAAGGTGCAGGTGGGGCACCCCCAGAATGAAGCACCCATTCTCCACCAGGCCCAGTAGGCTGAAGTTTTGGAAGATGCAGGCGTCATGGGCACTGCCTGCCCAGCCAGCACTCGCACATGAAGACACTTCAGTGGAGCACCATGGAGTGAAAGCTCCTCTGGCTGTAGTAGTAGGGCCAGTCACCATGGGGTGGGCAGTTGACATGGATGTAGGTCCAGTTGAGGGCCTCAGTGTACCGAGGGAACCCCAGAGCATGGAACTCGACTACTACTGCCAGGGAGTCATGCATGCACAGCATGATGTCCCCCAGCATGTCCTGTAGGGTGCCACAGACCTCCAGGACAGCCTCTTCTCTGGTGGCCATATCCACACCAAAAAGGTGGCTGACATGCAATAGGTTTCATAGATTTCATAGACATTAGGGCTGGAAGGGACCTTGGAAGATCATCGAGTCCAGCCCCCTGCCCAAAGGGCAGGAAGTCAGCCGGGGTCATAGGATCCCAGCAAGATAAGCATCCAGTTTTCTCTTGAAGGTGTTCAATGTAGGCGCTTGAACCACCTCCGGTGGCAGGCTGTTCCAGACCTTGGGGGCTCGGACAGTAAAGAAATTCTTCCTTATGTCCAGCCTGAAACAGTCTTGCAGTTTATGACCGTTCGACCTAGTCATCCCTTGGGGTGCTCTGGTGAACAAACGTTCCCCCAGATACTGGCGGCACCCCTGATAAACTTATAGGTGGCCATCAGATTAGCCTGGAAAAGCGCAGGCTCAGGGGTGAAGAGCCCCAGGGCTCTCAGCCTGTCATCGTAAGGTCTGCTTCCCTGACCTCTGATCATGCTGCGGCCTCACTAAGGCCGAGTACAGGGGGAGAATGACGTCCCGGGATTTGCTTGAGAAGCATCTATGGATGCAAGCCAGCGTTTTGGTCGCTTTACTAGCCGCCGCATTGCATTGCAGGCTCATGTTCATCTTGTGGTCAATGATGACCCCCAAGTCTCTTTCTTCCATAGTGCTAGCCAACATAGCACTGCCGAGCCTATAAGGATGCTGCGGGTTTTTTTTCCCCAAGGTGGAGAACCTTGCATTTATCGGCGTTGAACACCATCAGATTCTCGTCCGCCCACTTGCTGAGCCTGTCCAGGTCAGCCTGGATAACCTGCCTGTCTTCTGGTGTGGATGCTTTGCCCCAAAGTTTGGTGTCATCGGCGAACTTGGCCAGTCCGCTTCTGACTCCAGTGTCCACATCATTAATGAAGATGTTGAACAGTATGGGTCCAAGGACAGAGCCTTGGGGGACCCCACTGGTCACAGGACACCACGATGAGTGACTTCCATCGATTACTACCCTCTGGGTCCGACCCCCGAGCCAATTTTCCAGCCAGTGGATCGTGGAGGACCCAAGGCGACAACTGGCCAGTTTCTCCAAGAGGTGATCATGGGAAACCAGATCGAAGGCTTTTTTGAAGTCAAGATATATGACATCAATCTCTTCTCCCTTGTCCAGGTGATAGGTCACCTGGTCGTAGAAGGAAATGAGATTGGTCAAGCAAGACCTACCCGCAACAAACCCGTACTGGCTATCCCTTAAGATGTTGGCGTCGTTGATAGGCATGGCCAGCTTGAGCAGGGTGAGGGCCAGTCAGTTGTCCACAGGGAGATGCAGCCGCATGCTGGTGTCCTGCCACTCCACGTGTTGCCAGAGCTGCTCTAAGAGATCCCAGAAGGTGACCTGGGTCATCCTGAAGGCCTCTAGCCACTGCTTATCATCCCAGGTCTGCTAGACAACATGACGCCACCAGTCCTGGCTGGTCTGATGGGCCCAGAAGCAGCGAGGCTGCAGGTCCAGGAGGGCAATGGCGGCCCCAGAACTGGCATGCTGGAGCCCATTGTTGGCATCCCTAGTGGGGTCCAGTCAGGCAGACGGGGTGAAGACAGCAGGTGTGTGGTGGTGACCCTGGGACAATGCACAATGGGTTGACATTTGGTCACTGCATGTGGAGAAGCTGGGAAGGATGAGACAGGTGTGGCCAGGAGGCAGTTGGTGTGGTGGGCCAGCAGGGCCAGCACAGCAGCTAGCATGAGTGCAGGGTGCTGGCCATCTCTATCAGGGGCAGTGGCAGTGGCAGGAGCAGCCATGGTGTAGGGAGGCACAGGTGGCAAGGAGAGCGCTGCTGCGTGCTGTCCCTGCACTGTGTACACTGCTCCTGGCCAGGGACATGGCTGGCCAGAGAGCAGTGAGCGGAGCTGGCTTTTGAAGAGAGCTGCTGGTAGCTGGAGCCTGGAGCTACCCTTGGTGGTGGCAAGGGCTCATTGCAGGGCCCCAGGAAGCGGGAGCAGATTTGCTGCCAATGGCAGTAGATCTGGTCCTGCTTCCCTGTACATGTAGATGTCTGCCTGGCACCATTTACTCCTGAGTAATTTACTTATGAGTAAACTGGTACCTCAGCAAATGCATGTGTAGACATGCCCACTGATTGCAAAAGGGTTGCTCCTGATTTCCACTGGTATAATAGAAGACAGAATCAGGACTCATAACATAGTCCAGGCAACCAGATACTATGTAAGTTACACATATTTTTTAGACAATAATGCAGCGGTTCTCAACCTTTCTAGACTCAAGGCACTCCTCAACAGGTTCAAGTTACACATTGATATGCTCAAGGAATCCCTCAGAAAATGCCAGCTCTTAGTTTTTGCTCATTTTTGACTGCAAAAATATAAATGAGCAATTCCTCTGTTGCAAAGAACTCAGAAATATGGCAACAGGTCTGAATGCCTTTGACACAATGGATTCCTATTTAAAATCTCTGGTTTATCTTGTGAATTGTGTGTGTCCATCCAGCAGTACTAACATTGTATGGAACCCTGTGACACTCTAGAAAGAACATCAAGTAACCCCAGGGTGTTGCAGCACCCTGGTTGAGAATTGCTGCAATGTGTCAAGAAGTTTTGTTTTTTCCAGAAAGGGCTTGAAGATCACAAATCTCATACCACATCAGAAGAACTCTGCCAAGGAAAATGAAATAAATGACGTCACTAGTTCACCACATCTCATTTCACTCCATTGTTATTGGAGGACTTTTCTAGGTCTTCCATCATCAAATCCTGCTGGTTGATCATCCAGTTCCCTTTCTTAACTGTTTTACCCTCATCCTCAGCCTTTTTACAAGCTTGGTCCTGCACAGGCTGGCAAGGGGCTGCCGGTAAAATGGCATTGCTTTGGCCTCGCTGGGAGTAAATGTCCCTGCGAAACATCTCTCCAGAACAGAGCTGAAGTTTAAAGGCTGCCTGGAAACCTCGGCGAAAGTTCTCATTGAAGAAACCATAGATGATGGGGTTGATGCTGCTATTGAAAAAGGCTAGCCAGTGAGCAAAAGGATAGATATAAATGTTGATCACCTGCAACTGGACTTCTGTCAGATTGGCGTAGTCTGAGAGCATCATCAAAGTCCACAAGGGAAGCCATGATAAAATGAAAAGCAAAGCCACAGTGATGAGCATTTTGATGACTTTCTGCTTTTTCTTGGACACAGCATGGCGCTGCTCCTGGCCATGTTTTCCTGTAGTTGGCACTGCTGTGTTGAAAAGAGCAATACCTATCCTAGCATACATAATGACGATGAGTGACAGTGGAGCCAGGTAGATATTAGCAAAAAGCACGGTTGTATATATTTTTCTCATTTCCTGATTGGGCCAATCCTCCCGGCACCAGTATACTGGGCTGGTTTGATTGTTATAGCCAAGAATCACTCGGAAATACTTTTCCTCTTGCACCTGCAACATGACAGCAGATGGGCACATGATAGCAATAGCCAACACCCAGATGACAACAATGATGACAACTGCAGTCGATATGGTAAGCTTCTGCTTAAATGGGTAAACAATGCTTCGGAACCTGCAGTGGAGAGATGGAAATATCAGAGGATAGCTCTCAAGGCAATATGACTGATACCAAACAAAATTCATTGAAGTGTTCTTAAAGTCCTAAGAAAAATATATAAGAATCAGATCCTCAGGAAAAATTGGCCCTGCCTCACTGCTTTAATATTTACCAGGAGTTCCATCTGGGCTTTGCAGCCCATGCTAAACTATGTGGTTGGGACTACACTGTTACCTGTATCTGAGCTAGCTACTTTGTAAAGATCTATCTAAGCTTCAGTTGAACTTTTCATTGTGAAGTGGAGCACACCCATAGACAATTCCCCATCTGTTCTTGCTCGCCTAGACCACCTCCCTGACCAATGACAATGGAATAACACCCTTGTGGCACCTGCAGTAACTGCTTATATGGAAATTTAACATCAAGGAAGTATCACATTTTTTGCATGCCATCTTGTGTTACTTATCAGCTGGGCACAAGAAGAAGCTACCACCTATCTGTTATCTACTTTATACTAGATATAAATAGTGCTGCTCAAAAGTGTGTTTATGAAACACCTGTGCTAAATCTTGCAGCCCTTAAAAAAAATGTAACATGCATCAATTCTGGATGAACTAAATATATGAGCACTGTATAAAAATTGCTATAGCTATGTTTAATTTCAAGGTTATTGTTTTCAGATTTGCTCCTCACTTCCCTACGTCTGACAGTAAGAGGAGGGGAAGGGACTCACAGGGAAAAAAGTTGGGGGGAAGCAGAGAACAAGGACCTATCTGATTCCCCAGATTTATTTTGCCTGCTGTAGAAATGTGAGGGGACAAATTCAAGGAAACCTCCAATAATGATATTATACACCTGGAAAATAATAACAAAATTATACATTTTCCATATATAGAATCTAATTATTGGGGCTATCTTCTATTTGAGTAAATATGGTAAATCTCCTCTGTTGAACCTGCAAATAACACAGCAGAAGGGTTCAGTTGCCTAACTACTGAGATCCAGGCCCCCAGCACTGATCTCCCATCTGGTCCTGCTACCCCCAGCAGAGCTGACTGTGGTCCTTTGCTACATTAGCAATCATTAGAAGGGAGGGAGGATGCAGGGTCTGTTAGTTGCCTGGAGACTGATGTCTCCAGACTGGAATAGGAGTATTCCCTGTTCTAAGAGTCTCTTCTGTGGGGGGAGAGAGGCACACTGACTTGTCTTCCTTTTGTCCCATTTTAGGAAGTGATCAAAGAGCAGGCCACAACAAGTTGCTCTTCATGCTACAAGCAGCAGCAGGGAGAGTTGAGTTCACACTCAGTGGGCTTCCCTGAAGTACCAGTTTTTCTACCCTTCTCATGGAAATTCAGGGGAAGGAAATTATGTGGCCACACTTCACCTTTCCTTGCTTAATTTTGCCAACTTCTCAACTGAGCTGAAAAATACCCAGGACTAGAGATATAGTGAAAATGTTTCATGATAACAACAGATGCTTGGATATCCTGAGAGAATGGACACTGTACATATTTTAAATGCCTGTTGGCTTCAATCTTACCTGTCAACTGCAATTGCAACCAAAGTGAAAACAGAGGCTGAGACAGAGATTCCCTGGACCATGCCACTCATCTTGCAAACCATGCTTCCAAAGGGCCATCCTGGAAGGCACAAATTGAAAGAGCCTGAGCAATTTCTAATTGTTACCATGTCACTTCAGTGTTGAAGGCTCCATCCTCCCTCTGATGTGTATGGCAAACTCTCTAAAATTAGCAAAGTGTATGTTAAACTGAAGGAGCATGTTGCTGTCTAGTGACTCACGATCAAATAACTTAACAGGTGGAAAGATTATGTAAGTAGAAGATATTTGGACAGAGCTTGCAGATGTGTTTCTCATCCCTAAAGTGACACACATGTACCCATCTCCTTAACCCGAATGCAGGTTAAAGCAATATCTCCTGAGGGAAAGGGGGGACAGACACTGTAGCAGTACCATAACTACTGCTGGGCAAGTGAGACACAATCCCACTGACATAAAGGAGGTGCCAGAACGGAGGCTCCCAGAGAGTCTGAACCACCCAAATGTGGTGCCAAATCCACTGATTTCCATAGCTGCTAGTGATGGTAATCTGTGGCAGTCAGTGAAGAGGAGTCAGGGTTTGGTGTGAGAGTCCCTCACAGCCATTGGGACAGCTGGAAGCTTATGTGGGACACATCCTATTAACCTTGGTCCTCTCATCAGGATTACATCCCTGCTGTGGGAGCCACTGCTGCTACAGAGAGAGGTGTCTGTACAGCCAGCACCCAGGAAGAATCAGGGGTACTGGGAAGTGATCCCCATGCTGCTCAGGGCCAAACTGTACCAGTTTGCTGTAGCTGCAGTGCTGTAGTTGTTTCCACATGTAACATGGACCTTACAGATTTCATAGACATTAAGGCAGGAAAGGACCTTGCAAGATCATCAGGTCCAGCCCCCTGCCCAAAGGGCAGGCAGTCAGCAGGGGTCAAATGATCCCAGCAAGATAAGCATCCAAGTGTTTCTTAAAGGAATCCAGAGTAGGTGCCTGCACCACCTCTGAGGGGAGTCTATTCCAGGTCCTGAGGTCTCAAACAGTAAAGAAGTTTTTCCTTATGTCCAGCCTTACCTTACCTGACAGAGGGAGTTTTAAGTGGTGTAATTTACACATTAGAGCCTCACATGTGCATAACATTATTTGTAGCCTTCATCCATCTGACTTGGCTCAGAGTCACATGGCTGTAATGGAATGTAATGGCATGCTGGCCAGTAAAGCTCACATGATGCAGGATAAAAAAGAGGAATATAGCAAGAAAAGCAATTAGGAGTCAATAGGTGTGTATGGAAACTGGCCAACCATGAAGTTGCACTATTTCCTGACTTCTTCCCACATAGGTTCTGCCATTTTTACACTCATTTAAGCCCCTTCATAAATATATGTACCTAAATAGGCCCAGTGAAGTCCGAGTCAATGTCTGACTGACACCAGCTTTTTAATGACTTCTGGATGCATTTAACTTCTAGCACCAATTTCAAAGAGTACTAGTAATAACTCTGCAGTACATATGTCTACACCCCACCCCATGATGATGCTGTACCAAAAAAAAATCTTTGTTAAGCTATCTAGGTCTCCCTTCTCTTCACCCAGGTTTGTCCAGGGAGCTGGCTCTTTAGTTCCATCTGCCCTTTCTTAAGTTTCCAGGGCTCCAGGGTATAATTTTTAGACATGGTACTATTATAGCATTTAGAAAAAGCTGAAGTTTTATTTTAAAAATATTGTTGTTGTTTGGTTGTTGTTGCTATTACAAATAGACACATATTTTTCCCTCATAGAAGGATAATGGTATTTGAATATTTTTTAACAACTTTAAATAATTGCATTAATGTTGGTAGTCAAATTTTAAATAAATAAATGCAAAAGGGCAGAGAAAAAATGGGAGTTAATAATATATTTCTTGCATTTTTAGAGGAAGATATTATTTTATGTTTTTAGTATTAATATAATAATTGCATAAAGTGTGGATAACTATACATCCTTTGAAAATATAGTAAAAAAACACCCTTCTTTCAAAATTGTCCATGAAAGTAGATTAAACAAAAAGGGAGAGAAAAGAGGAAAGTTTCCATGCACAAGAAAGACCACAAAACACATGCAGCTTGCAGGATCAATCAAAAGACATTATTTAACACGGTGTTCTTTTATGAAACTATTGCTTATAGCTTGCTAAAAGGCACTACCTTGGTGACTTCAACACTACACCAAATACCTTAATAAATATCTTCTGACTGGCTCATCTTTTGAGAGCCTTTTCCAATTCTGAAAAATGGTTGCTAACACATTTTAAAGATAGTTGCTTAAAAGACTGTGTAGATAACTAGTAACATATATGTCGTTAGTATTCTTTTAACTTCTACTGCTTCTTCAAGCGTTCAAGGACAGGAATGATGGCATTTATCTTCAAACCAAACTAGATGGAGACTTGTTCAGCATCATAAGGTTTAGAGCAAAAAACAAGGTGGAAGAACTTGTTCTGAGAGATTTTCTGTTTGCGGGTGATGCGGCCTTGGTTGTCCACAGTAAATCTTCCCTGCAAAACCTCTTGGACAAATTTTCTGCATCATGCAAAAGCTTTGGATTGACAATTAGTCTCAAGAAGACTGTGATCATGTACGAAATGGTGAAAGAACCAGTGCCTGACATCACTCTGGAAGGTAAAGCTCTTGGCATCATTGACAGCTTTTGCTACTTAGGTTCTATGATAAGCAAGAATCTTGACCTTTAGATTGAACTAACAGAATCAGAAAAGCAGCTAAGAATTTCAGGCTATTACAGAGTAGTTAGTTGTAGTTACCTTAGTCTAAGAACATAGGCAGGCAAGGGTCTTTGGGTAGATCTTTTATTAGACCAACTAAATAGTTGAAAAGAAGTTCTTTGCAAGCATTCAGGCACAAACACCTGAGGAATTGTGTTTGTGCCTGAAAGCTTGCAAAGAACTTTTTCCAACTATTTAGTTGGGCTATTACAGAAACATGCATGGAATAATAACAAACTATCAACTAAAATGAAGATGTGAATCTATGACACTTGCATGCTGTCATCCCGGCTTAATAGTTCAGAAACATGGATTATGTATGTCAGGCACATCAGGAGACTGAGCAGATTCCATATGAGATGCCTGAGCAAGATCCTGAAAATAAAGTGGGAAGACAAAATTACAAACAGAGGTGCTGGAGCATGCAGGATTGACACACTGAGAAACCATTATCAAGAAGAAGAGGTTGCAATGGCTTGACGATAATCAGGAGAATAGGAGGAGACCTTGTCCCCAAGAATATTTTGTACAGCAAGATTCAAGATGGCTCTAGAAAGTGGGATTGCCCTTTATGGCAGTACCATCGAGTATGCAATAATAATATGAAGTTGTTCAACATCAATATAGAAATCTGGAAGGAGCGTGCAGAATCTTGTCCAATCTGGAGGGAAAACCTAGCATTAGGTGCAGTTCAATATGAAGCATCTTTGATCCCAGGATGGATGCAAAGTGGGAAAGAAGAAAACAGCATCCTGTAAACTTGGACTCCAACTCAGGCAAGACATGGATCTGTGAAACTTGTAACAGGCTGTGTCACTCTCAATTTGGGCTTGTCAGCCACAAGTGGATTCATCAGGCACTTGACTAGACCTCTTATGTATACACCAGGATCCAGAGGATTGACACTTGCCTAGATATGTAGCTCTTGCTTTAATGTTGATAAAATAATCTAGAAGTGTGTTCCTTTTGATGTTGGTATTCTAGTTTTAATTGATTTTAATATGCTATTAAATTGTAGGGGTGCACTGATAGAGATTTTTGGGGCCGATATCAATGACCAATTTTTAACAAGCTATATCAGCCAATACAGATCTGACTGCTGATATTCAGTCGGACAGCTTGGAAAGCAGTGTCCAGCTGGTAAGTCTGTTATGGGGGAAGGGGCGAGGGGGGAGGGAAGGGGTGTTGGGGGACAGATCAAGGCCCCCACAGTGAGGGAGGGAGAGGGGATGGGCCTGGGGCAGATGCTGCATAGCCAGGGTGGAGGGCAGGATGGAGCCATAAGAGGCTTATCTGAGGGTCATGGAGGGGAGGGCAGCTCCTGCTGTTGCACACACCCCGGGAGGGCAAGGGGGTGGGAGGGTGCCCCCAGATTTGGGCACAGGGTGATGGTGGGTTGCTGCTGTGGGCTGGGGCGGCACTGAGATCTCCCCAGCAGAGGGCTGGGCCGGACTGCGCTCAGCATGGGCAGTGATGGTGTTGGAAGCAGGGCTAAGGAGGAGGGCTGTAGCCACCTCAACATTCACTGTAGCCCCCCTCCCAGTGCCATCACCACCTGCCCCGAGTGCAGTCCAGCACAGCCCCTGCCGGGAAGAGCTCGATGCCACCCCCAGCCCCAGCCCACAGCAGCAGCCCGCTCTCATCCCATGTGCAAATCCAAGGGCCCACGCCCCCTATGCTCCCCCGGTGCATGTGTAGCAGTGGGAGCTGCCCCCCCCCCATGTCTCCCAGATGAACTGCTCACAGCTCTGCCCCACACTCCACCGTGCCTGTGCAGCACCTATCCCTTTCTCAGCCCCAGCCCAATCCCACTCCCTCCCTCATCACAGGGGCCTTGATCTGTCCCCCCCCCCCACAATGCCCCTTTCCCTCCCTTACCAGCTGGACCCAGCAGCTCTCCACACTGCTGGGCTGCGCTCGTGGCTGCCAGCATGCTGTGCTCTGGCTGCTGCATGCATGGGGCATTCATTAGTGATATTATCGGCCACATCAGCCAAAAAATTCTGATTGCTAATACTGTCAATTTTCCTTATATTGGTGCCAATCTGATATGGGACCAATGTACTGGTGCACCTCTTTAAGTGTATTGTAATACACTACCGTTTATAATTCTGTAAACCTTGACATTAAAGAAAACCTCAAATTTGATAGGAAATGGGGTATATTTTAATAAGTTATGATATAAAATTTTGCATAAGATGACATGCTAAAAAAAGATACTTTTCAAATAGGTCAGCAAATGGAGTACAGGATCATAGGAAAGCAGGGCTGGAATGGACCTCAAAAGGTCATCCAGTCCAGTCCCCTGCTCAAGGCACGATCATCCCTGACTAAACAATGCCAGAAAGTATCTGTCCAATAGGGCAGTGCAGAGCTTCGGTCCCTGATTCGATTCGACGGAGATTTGGCCCAATTTGGTAGCTAATCTCCAAATCCAAATTGAATCAGGGGACCCTTTAATCTCTCTGAATCGAACTGGAACCCTCCGAATCGATTTGGAGACATTTAGAAAGATTTGGTGATTTGGACATAGACACTGCTTTAAATGTCTTTTCTACAGACCTCTAGGTAGCAGGTGGCTTAAAATTGCTGCAATACTGGGGTGCATGGAGCATCCCACAGGAGCGTGGGGGGGTCCCCAGCACGCTTGTCAGCAGACCCAGAAGTGGACCAGACAGCACTTCCAGTCCACTTCCACACCTGCCAGGGAGCATGCAAGGGCCCCCCTCCAAGCCTCCCCCTCCCTGGCTCAGTGACTGGTGACTCCTGGGTCTGGGGGGGGCACCCGGGGTCCCCCCGTGACTGATTGCCAAGCTGGGAGGATCTGGGGGGGGAGCCCCATGTGCTCCCCAGCGGATCCAGAAGTGGACCAGAAGAACTTCCAGTCCACTTCCAGGTTCCCCACCAAGCACGTGGAGGGTCACCTGCACTCCTGTTGGATGTTCCATGTGCCCCAGCACTGCAGCATTCACAAGCCACGTTGGTACCTCAAGGTATGTAGAAAAAACTTTAAAAGCTGTGTCTATGTTTGAATCGCTGATTCTCTGAATCAGCACTGAATCTTCAGATTCGGATTCGACCAAATTGAATCAGCGACAGTGATCCAAATCAACGAATTGAATCACTGTCCCTAAGTTGGGCCAAATCCAAATTGAATAGGGCCCACTTCACACACCCCTACTGTCTAACCTGCTTTTGAAAATTACCAGGGATGGAGATTTCACAATTTCTCAAGGTAGCCTGTTCCAATGCTTGATTGCCTTCATAGTCAGAAATTTCCTCCTAATCTCCCACCTAAATTTCCCCTTCTGTAGCCTTAGGCCATTATTCCTCGTCCTATCCCCTGTGGCACAGAAAAAAGTATATCTCCATCCTCTTTATACTCACCCTTCAGGTGTTTGAAGACTGTTATCAAATCCCCAATCAGTCTTTTCTTCTCCAGATTCAATAACCCTAGCTCTTCCAGCCTTTCTTCATAACTCATACTTCCTGGGCCTCTAAACATTTTTGTTGCTCTCCATTGGACTCTTTCCAATCTGTCCACATCCTTCTTGAAGAGCAGGGCCTAAAACTGGACACAGTACTCTAGGTGAGACCTCACCAGTACTGAATAGTGTGTGAAAACTGAAGTACAAAAGGCATTAATACTTCAGTCTTCTCTACATGATCTGTAACTAGATTTTTTTTTCTGCATTCCATAAGGGACCTATGGTTTCTTTGGTCTTCCTCTTTTTCTTGATATACTTGTAAAATCCCTTTTTAGTGTCTTTTACCAATTGTTTCTCAAATCATTCCTTGGCCTTCCTAATTTTCTCCCTGCATGCCCATGCAATATACTTATACTGTTTCCTAGTACTACAACCAAGTTTTCATTTTTTATACAATTGCCTTTTGAGTTTAGGCTTAATAAAGATGTTAGCCAGACTTGTGCTTCCCATTCTTCTGTTGCACCAGGATAGCTTACTCCTGAATCCTTATAATCTCCTTTGCTATATTTGTACATGTATTTGATTTGATTGGACTGATATTGAATTGTACAGACCACATGGAAAAATATCGTTTCCCCAAAAGCTAATTAAAAATTTGCATGAAATACATGCCATAATTTGTCACATACAGTACCTCCTAGGATACAATATACTCCTTGTTTTTGAAAGGCAGAGTGGGGAAAGAAAAGATTTTTCCATAGTTATGGCTGCATAAAGCAGGAACAGAACCTAATCTTGAGCTGACTCACCCTCCCTTTCCTGATTCTCTAAAGGTCAAACTGTAGCTGCTGATGAAGACTGCTCTCCATGGTTGGACCTGTGATTTTGAAAAGAGCTGTCTCCTGGGATGTGAAATTGGAGTTGATACACCAGGAAAAAACAAGAAGCCTCTTTTAGACACCAATATTACCCCAAGAAAAGTTAGCTTGATTAGTGGAACATCAAGGCCATTGCAATGGAGAGGTAGTAGTTAACCCCTGTGGAGTGAAAGCTCAAATTCCATACAGCCAGGCAAAACCAAGGACAAGGTCACGGAGAAGCACAAAGTATGACATGGGCTTATTAGACGAATGTCACAGTACAGGGTGTGGGCATATGTCAAAAATACATGGAAAATGTATGTTATTATCACTAATATTCATTACATTTTTTAAATGGTCTCTGTAGCTGAACTCAAAACAAGCTCATTTCAGAACAATACTTATTTTACCAACCCACCCCGCCAAAAAAAAACCCCAAACCATTAACTACATGAAAAATCTGACATTCAGTCATTACAAAATGTCAAGTTATGTTTATTGATATCACTCAGTTGCCACAGTTACTTCCTATTTTGGTCCTGATTCTGCTTTCCATTGCACCTGTTTTGTCAGCTGAAGGCAACATAACTTATTCATCACCCAACTGGTGTAATGATGTGGAGGACAGGCCTTTTTAAGAATATCTACAACACAAATGTAGTTTTACTATTGGCAAATATTCAATTTTATAACAACTCTTGAGTGTCATTTGGTTGACCTCTGTAATAGTTAGGAACCAGGGATTTGATTCTGAACATTCTTGAACTTTCAGTTCTGATCCAGGAAATTGTTCTGCCAAATATCTGTGTTGGTATTTTAGCAAAAGTTTTTACACATCCTTACTTAGAATGTATTTCTGCTGCACAGGTAATTTCCCTGCAAATGTCTATGTTCAAGCAGTCAGAGTCTACCTACCTGCTATTATGTTGTCCAGGAGGGTAGTAGGCATGCAGAATATACCCACCAGTAAATCACTGACAGCAAGGTTTAAGATGAAGAGGTTCGTAACTGTACGCATGTGCTTGCTCCTCAGAACGATGAAGCAAACCACTCCGTTGCCAACCATACACAAGAGGAAGATGAGGAGGTAGGAGATGATGAAGATTGCTGCCACTGGAGGCTGATGCAGGTAGAAGTCTACATAAGAAATGTTGCTTTCTGTGTATGGATGCTTGTATGTCCCATTGAAACTTGGCAAATGAGGCCATCTGAATGAAGAATTGGAATCCAGTTTCTCATTCATGTTGTATTGTTCCTTGCAAGATAGAAAATAGCACCTTACGTGTGTGTAAAAATGTTGGGTGCCCAATACCCATGAAAACAGGCACAACCGTATTTCTAATAATAAATAATCTTGTAGTACTGCCTGAACAAATAGATATACTACATTTGCAGTAGTGACCACATTATCTGCACTCAGTCCATTAATATTTGCCAATTCTGTTTCCAATAGTCCATGGTCTAAGAAACCCCAAATTGCTACCAATTTTACCTTTCAGGATCCATAATATGTCAGACATGATTTTCCTTGTTTATTTGATAAATATAGAATTTGTCCATTAACAATTACACTGACTTAGAGCCTAGAAAGAGTAATAGCTGGATCCTGGATCCTAGATTTAAGTGAACTTTTTCAAAAAAAGCGGTAATGGATTTTTGCAATTCCTGGGTGTCTGACTCAAGATAGTTTGGGTCTCTTGTTTGGAAATGTTGAAGCACTGTTATAACCCACTAGCTTCAGCTGGAATTTTTGGTGTTCTTCACCCCGGAGCACAATGCTCTTAACAATAAAAACGGTGCACACAAAGCTAAATTACCTCATTTGAAAATGTTGACCTTTATGTCCAGTACCTCAGAGACCTTCAGAGCCAGGCTTAGGAGGCCTAAGTAATTAGAAACATAGAATTCCCCCTGTACCAGTACAAATGAAACTTTTCTTTCTAGCTATAGAAGATCACAAGATATCACTGGACTTAAAGTTTAGGGTGTTACAACTGAGGTGTCTATGGCTATGTACTTGACAGGGGATGGTCACATTCTGTTTTTTGGGTGCTGTATTTCTAAATGCACGGAATTTGTTACCTCCTGCAGCTGGGAAAGCAACATGTTGTCTCACTTATATTTGCTTTTTTTCTTTGTTCTTTCAACAAGAAATATGACATTTGAAACCAAAAGTGAATATTTTGCACTCTGTGTGTTGTGAAAGGAAACAAACATTTTAACTGCTTACAGACATTAACCCCTCCCCCCCCTGCAAAAAAAGCAAAAAAAATGACACTTCAAACTTGGCATGCTCCTGTGCTGAGCTCAGCACATGCCCGGAAGAGGCACTGCATTAGTTGGACCCAGCTTGCCCAATGTTTGTATAAATCAGATGCTTCAGTGGGGCTTTTTTGGCTTTTTTATATACTAGCTGATTGAATCAGCTATTAGAAAAAAGCACCAAAAAGCCCTGCTGAAGTGCCTAATCAGTCGCTGCAGAGCCAGGTCAAACTACCATACCACTTCTTCTGGTAAGGTACTTTTTTTTTTTTTTTTTTAACCTCTGTAAGCAACCATAGAACATGACATTGGGACTGTCCTGTACATCCCAGTAATTAAAAACCACCACTATAATAGTAATGGCAGGCCCAAATGACCTAATTGTTCTTTTTCATTCCAGATTCCTATTTACAGTTCAGTCATGTAATCTTTTTCATACATTGGAGTCCGTAAGAGTCTGAGTGTGAATGCACCAAATGTAAGGAAACTGAAAGTAATTTCAAAAGACTGTATATTATGAAGCAGCATAAAAAGGCAACATTCACAAATATTAATCTGATATAACAGAGAAGATATGTACAAATGACCCTTAAAATTGCCAAAAGCCAAGTTCCCTTGAGAAGACAGGCTCCATAAACAACCAGCCAAAAGGGAAATACTAGAGAACCTAACAAGTCAATTTAGAACCTGACAATGGAAGATGAAGGACATAAAATAAAAAAGCAGTAAAATCTGAGAAGGCAGTGCAGGTTAAGAAATCTTGTGCTTAAGCACAGGTTAAATTTCTGCTGGACTTCAAAAAAAATCAGTTAAAGGCAAACAAGCTGCTGAATGTGTTCATATACAGGGAACTCTCTTTAAAATGATTACTAAAATTATAGTTCCTAATAGAACACGATTGATTTTTATTACTCTGTTTACAAGTAAAACAGGGTTGTGTCAAGCTGTGGAAAGGAATCAATAGACTAAAGCTGAAAGGACTGTTTTGTAGATAGAGTATTGGTGTGGAACACAGATCTCTGAATTTGTTTCTTGATTCAACCATTGACTTTGAGTGTGATACTGAACCACCCACATTTGACCGAACCACCCACATTTGATCTCTTTGGGCATATCTACATGTGATGCTATGTCACCATAGCAGCATGCTAGGGTGTAACATAGCGTCTACAGGGGCCTATATGTGACCATTAGCTACTTCACCATAGCGACGCACTACCCCGTTATAGCATGCCACTACGGCAAAGTAGCTACTAAAAATAACCGTGTGCAGTGCGTACAGCACAGTATGGGCTGTTACTGTGCCCTGACTTAGTACTTCCAAAAGGAAGTAATAAATTATGGTGCAGCAACAACATTGTTATAGCAACACATGTAAACGCACCCTTTGTCCCATCCCCAACTAGGCATTGCAGATTATAATATGATCTTTCTTCCATTCTTTGTAATTAGATTGTAAAGTAAATACTCATCTGGTTACTTTGTAAGTGAAACTCTTTAAAGGTAAGAATTGTGGTTATTGCCACTACAAACCCCCACCTGCAACTATAAGAAACAATTTTGAAAATGCCCAAGACATCCTATAATACACCATAGGTAACAGGAGGGTAGACGAGGGCATTACTAATGCCCTGCCGCTGCACCAGCAGGGAAATCGTTGGTTAATGTATATTCACATACTACTAGGAAATGGCCTTGCATCCCTAATATGGAGGAAGACAAAATCTACTGCAATCTATGTCAAGCTAATCTAACCGATGCCCTGCTCTGCCTTTAGGGTACCCTTTCCTCCTTCTTGCCCACCATGCCTTGATGTACTTATTGGATTGAAAAGGGAGGCTGCCTTGAGTCCTAGAACAAGCCTTGATCTATCCAATAGCCAGCAGGACCCTCCTGAACACCACTGGCCTCGATCATTCCCCTAGGCTGTGTGGGCATCCTGTCCATGCCCCAGAGCACCTATAAGCCTTAAGGGCTAATTACATGGCTTTGCCCATCCCTACACCATATCTCATGCCTCTCAGGTACCATCATTCTCCTGTTGGGGCTGTACCACCGTTCTCCTGTTGGGGCTTTGGCCTTCTCAGCCTCCACCCCACTTCTCTAGCTGGGCCTTCTAGCCCAGGCCCACTGAATTAAACCTAGCTTCTAGGTACCTGCTCTAGTCTTGCCCCTCAGACACTGGGCCCCTGGACCTTGTCTCCACCTCTCTTGGGCACTGGGCCCCTGGCCCCAGCTTTTTCCAGGCTATGGTCTCACTCTGGCTTGAACCTGCCTCCAGCAGGACTCAAGGTGACCACATACCCTTTGGACATCATTTAATTCACAGACTCATAGATTCATAGACATTAGGAGCTGGAAGGGACCTCGCAAAATCATAAAGTCCAGCCCCCCTGCCATAGGCAGAAGTCTTTCCGGATCAAATGATCCCAGCAATATATGCATCTAAACACCTTTTGAATAAGTCCAGAGTAGGTGCTTGCACCACCTCTGAGGGGAGTCTGTTCCAGACCTTGGACACTCGGACTGTAAAGGAGTTTTTCCTTATGCCAGTCTAAAATGGCCTTCCAGAAGTTTGTGGCTGTTAGACCTAGTTATCCCTTGGAGAGCCCTGATGAACAACTGTTCTCCCAGATCCTGGTGCACCCCCCCTTATATACTTATAAGCTGCCACTAAGTCCCCCATGAGCCTGCTCTAGGCTGAAGAGTCCCATGTCCATGGGCGAATGGTGCCTCTTGAGTCAGGGGATCGCTTGCCCTCCGAGCAGCCAATCAACAACTGATTGGGGGGGGCATGCCCCATGGCCAATCATGCAGACCAGAGGGGGGGCACTTCCAGACCGGTGCAATCAGCTGCAGAGGAACACCCCCACCCGGCATGATCAGCCACAGGGGGACATTGGGGATCGCTTCTCCTGTCACCCCCACTCCCCTGGCTGGCACTCTCCTGGGAGGCAACAGCACTCTCACCTGCTCCCCTTGCCCATTGCCTAAGTGGGGAATGCTGCTATCAGGGGGTGCATGTGCACTCCCTTGTGCCCCCTACACATCACCACTGCCCATGTCCCTCAGCCCCTCCTCATAAGGTTTGCTCTCTTGGCCTTTGATCATGTGAGTGGCTCTCCTTTGGGCTCTCTCAAGCTTATCCACATAGCTCCTGAAGTGGGAGGTCCAAAATTGGACACAGTGCTCTAGCTGCAGCCTCACTAAGGCTGAGTAGCGTGGGAGGATAATGTCCCTGGTTTTGCTTGAGATGCATCAGTGGATGCATGCCAGAGTTTGGTTTGCTTTGCAGCCACAGCATCACACTGGAGGCTCATGTTCATTTTGTGGTCAGTCAAGACCCCCAAGTCTCTTTCTGTCATGGTACTAGAGAGTGCAGCACTGCAGAGCCTGTAAGTGTGATGCTGGTTCTTCCTCCCAAGGTGGAGCACCCTGCACTTCTCTGCATTAAATGCCATCAGGTTTTGGTCCGCCCACCTTGCAAGACTGTCCAGGCCAGCCTGTATCCCCAGCCTATCCTCCAGTGTGACTGCCTTCCCTCATAGTTCAGTGTCATCCACAGACTTTGCCAGTCCACATGTGATGCCCAAATCCAGATCATTTATGAAGATGTTGAAAGTACTGGCCCGAGCCAGGCAATTAGATCTGGCTTCAGTATTCATTTACTGATCAGACCTACCTAACTGTATGTCATAAAAGCTGTGTTGAGTCTAATGAACAATACATTCAATTATTGTAACATTGTCTCAAAATACATGACAAAATACTTTAAATTAAAAAAATGAAAATGGATACATTCAAGATACTTACTATATTTATTTATCATAACCAAAATACAGATTGAAGGGAGGACCATTGTCTTATTTCCTGGATATGAGAGGCTGTAGTCTGACTTTATGCTCCAAGTGGAACTCACTGAAATGAAAGGGGAGAGCTTCAGAGAACAAGTCACAATAACTATCTTCATTCTTCCTGCTGTGTCCTCCACTATACAGTTTTTAATCTGCCTCCTACCCTTTCCTGTGGTTACCTGACATGTTTACCCTCATGTTTCTTCTCAAGAAAACACAGTTTTGTTATATTTTGCATAACAAGCTGATTCAACACTATCAAAATCTTTTTAGGCAGAGGCAGAAGGAGCCATTTCTGTGTCTTGTGTGATAGTACTGGCCAGGGCATTGGTGGCAATAGAAAATGTCATTTTTGTAACCCCTGTAAATCAACAGCTAGGGCTGGTTCTGCACTTGCCCACCCCTACTTATGCTACTGCCTGCCTGTCAAGCAAGAAATGGGATAACAATCTTTATGCTGACAAGGCTCAGCTTAACTTTCTGGAAAGAAATTGTGATGCTATTAAATATTGTTTTCTACCTTCTGTGCCAAACTTATAGGTTTCTAGAGATTAAATGATATAACATGCTCTGCTCTATAATACATGCATTTCTCTGCCACTGCTTTCCCATGCACTGATTAAAAGGCCTGCACTTCAGTGCTGGCAAAGAGAGCTGGAAAAGTTCCCTTCCAATTATTACTTGCACCTTCAAATGAATCAGTGTCTACGAATTATTTTTTACCAGTCTTATCTTTGTTAATAATCTTTCTCTGATGCATACTTTTATTTGGATTCATTATCTATCAAATGTTTTAATCAATCTGAGTCCACAGTTAGCTACTGCTGGAAAATGTTTTAGTGCAAATGGTATCATTCACCTGAAAACACACCTTGGTGGTTGTACCTCAAAACATACTCAAGATAGGGGGCATGAAATGTGCATGAAGATGGTCTGACTGCATAAGCCTGGCAGTAATAGCCTGGGTTCTGCTTTTGGGCACAGTGCAGAAGTGATGTATAGTCTCACTACACCCACAGCAGGCCAAAGACAGTCAGTGCCTCTGAGAGGCCATTCAGAAGGTCTTCCCTACTCCCTTCTTGCTGTACAGCAAAGAAATAAGTTGTAGCAGTTTATTCTCACATTTGCACTGTACCAGCTGGTATGAAGGGGTAGGTGGGAAAGGTGATAATCATCTCCCAAGGCAAATTTAGACATGGCCCAGTGGTGCATTCACATCTCCCTTTGACTGACTCTTGGTCCACCCAAAGTTTAAAGCCAACTGACTGACAGTGGCAACAATATTTCTATTCAGACCCAAGTAAAGAAATCAGTTGACTTCACTGCTCATTATAATTCCTTCTAAACTCTTCATCCCACAGGTGTTAACAACCCTCTCCTTTTTCATCACTTTGAGATTCCACTAATCAAGCTATCCTTTTTTTTGCTATTCTTCTGTCTGTTAGCCGGTCTGGGTAAAGTAGCTCCTATTTCACAGTCCTACAAACTGTTTTGAACTCTAGTTAAAGCATTAACTCATGTGTGGAAATAAATTTCAGTGGCCATGTCTACGCATCACGTAACATGGAGCATCGCGTAGCATGAACCTAAAAGCTGTTCGGCAACACTACTGTGCAGTAAGTCTGCTTACTGCGCAGTCATTTAGTACTTGTGTATGCAAATACTAAATGACTGCGCAGTAACAACTGCACAGTCAGAGTTTTGTGTAGATGTGGCCAGTGAAGCATTGGATGCACTGTTGAGATGCTCAAGAAGGCTAGACTTTGATTTATGAATCTGAAAAAAGGGATGTACATTTCATTCTAATGACTACAAGACTAATGAAACAACATCTTTTGATTATTTTTTTACCTAATTTGGTTTTTTCATACATAATTAATACACATTCTAATAAAGTTATATTTGTTTTTTGCTTTGATCTCAAACTGAATAATAAAGCCCAGAGCCCTGCAATATTAGTAAAGTTTATATTTTCTTTTAAATTGGAGAAAAATATTTGTTTTATATGGGATGGTGCACCTCACCATCTGCACCCCACCCCACTTGTAAAAATCCTAGATCCACTTGCGTTCATCTCCTATTCTGTTTCACACTCAGATAGTGAACATGTTCACACTGAACTCCACACCAGGCAGGCCCTGATTGAGCTCAGAGTAGTTTTGACTTGGCTGATTACGGTATAATCTTACTCCACTGCTTGCCTGAGTAAGATAACTACTCCCATGGAAATGCTGGAAGTTGGCTTCCAGTCCTGATTTATATAAAAAGCTGTATTTGATTTCATTTTGGTATAAAACAAGTTAAAATTACAAGGTTGCAGGTCTACAGATGTTACTGAGTCTGGATGGATTGCTGCTGAGCTGCAGAGGAGCTCATCTTAAAAAAAAGTAAACAAAATGCCAAGGACTGACACAGCATGTGCTAGCAACATGATATCATTGATTTTCTTGAGGGGTAAACAAAGCAGAGGAATGCAACTCTGCCTTAAGCCATTCATTGCTTTTCAGAATAAATGTGATTGTGCAACAACAATGTAAGAAATTTCACTCAGACCAACTGTGCAGAAGGGTCAGCACAAGGCATGTGCAATGGCTAAATCCTGCAACCTATTATGAAGACTTCGAACACCACTAATTCAAGCTTTTCTCTGCAGCAAAGAGAATTATAAAAGTACTTTTTATTTTAGTGGATTTCCTATGTAATCACATGACCGTAGGAGCTGGCACTTTAAAAAGAGCATCACTTACTATGAAGCTGAAAACAATACAGCAGTGCACAGGTCCTTCTTCTAAGGGTTGGATTTCAGTCTATGCAGGATTGCCCGGTTTGTATGGTGCCCACATGGTCTGTGTGTGAAGGGGAAGCAGATACAGAAGATATCATAACATTGCAGAGATAAGACACTTGGGCTAGGGACAGATATTATACATAAACTGGTTTATATGATCAGAAACTGGCTTAAACCTGTAAGAGAACAGACATTCAGTACACATAAACCACTTTCAAAATGATCAAAACTGGTTTGAGAGAAACTTGGTTGAATGTTTTATCAAACTTAACTGATTTGGCTCAAACCAGTTTATGCCATGTCTGTCCCAGACCCCTTGCTGGTTTAAGATAAACAAGACAACCCCAGCATCCCGGCATGCTCTCTGGGCTGGGTGGGGCTCTCTGCTCCACAGCAAGGCTTGCCCCTTTCCTCTGCTCTCTAGCTGGAGCAGGGACCGATCCCAGTAGAGACACCGGTGGGCATGGCCCCAGTAAGGCAAAGTGAGCAGGGAGGGGGTTAATTCTTCCCTCCTTCCCCTCTTCCCCCACTGCAGCTGAGGTCTTGTCTGCCGGGGAGCAGTGGGAAGGGGGCTGCTGTGGTGGCCCCTGGAGTTGCCAGATCCCAGCTGCAGGGAAGAGACTGAGGGAGGAATTAAGCCTTCTCCCTGCCCCCTTCGCTTTAACAGTGCCATGCTGAGTTGACTGTCCAGCAGGGTTGGGAGGGAGGCTGGCTTGGGGCTTTTCCAGCACCCTACAGACTCTGAAAGCCAAACTCCCTGCCAGCCCCATCTGAGATAAACGTTGCTGTTTCTGAAGAAAGTAGTTCATAATCCACATTGGGACTGCTTTGCACTTTGTTGTCCTCATTGACACCAGTGAACATGCTGCCATTTTGACAAGATAAGGTTTAAACACCTACATTGTACTGCAGCAAACAACTGCACAGTGGGTAAAGCAACTGAGAATTTGGCCCCATCAATAAAAATGCTAAGCTCTACCCTCCTTATGAGGATTATTGATGTTTTTGGGAACACTGCATTCTTGCCAGTCAATGAGAAAAATAAATGACTATGGCTAAAGTAATTTAAAAAATCACAGGACGACAAACAGATATACATTTACTGGACAGTCTTCCATGCAAATATATATCTTTCTGTTCACATATGTACACCAGATTCCTCCTCTTTTTTGTCAATGATTAATCCAAAAGCAGTTTGCAACATTATCAAATATGTCTGTTGTCCAAAATTCCTCTCTATAATAAGCTTTTGGAATAATTTTTGGTCCATAGCTTTTTTTGTGAACAGTTGGTTACAGTTAGAATCCAAGCTGTTTTTTATTGGACACACAAGACATGGTTCATCATGGAGCTAAAACAGTTTCACACTCTTGTTACTCTGCTGGAACCAATGGAGTCGCAGCAAGGGAAACAGCAGCAAGCAGCACAGACACTACAGTATATTTGTGTTCCCTGAGAGGATGAGTTCATAGCCCAAGAATCAGCTTTCTGAGGCAAATAAATATTCATTTCACATTGTAAATTCACTTTTTGCAAACCTACATTCTACCGCATTGCCTTAAAATCTAATCTTTATCAAAAACAGCTGACTGTAAACTTATTCACTAGAATAGTTGTGGAACGTGAAACTGGAAAAGAAAAGAAGCAGAAAAGAGATTTTAAAAAAGATCCCAGTAATGCTGTATTTATTCGTATGCCATACACATCTTGTCCACAAAAATCAGCCCTCCAAAATTGGGACTCGTGTTAAGCAGAGAAACTAATATTTATTTGCTGGAATAGAAGCATGGAGATGCTGTGCTCTACTGGCTGCCAAAATAGCTTCCACTTCTTTCTGGCTCAACAAGCAGCAAAAGTGTCTAGCATTAACTGTCTCGTAGCCACTGCTACATAGCAATAGTTTTTAGCTGAAGAGTGAGCTGAACGAGCCAGTCAGCTGGCTGAGGGTAAATGAAGGTAAGTGAACTGGAGACTCAGGCATGGCAATGGAAAAATATTTTTTCTTCCTACATTCTTCCTTCTAAAAAGAGTGCCTGTTATATTTGGGGCCCTGTGAGATGCAAAAAAAAAAATAAAATAAAATAAAAATAGTATTCATGTAGCTGTTTTCTCCTCATTCAAACCAACTGACCAATCCACCATTGCGAGATACTTCTTCATTCCTAGTTAGAAATGAAAACAAAGAATTATGAGACACAAATGACATATGAAGGTAGGACTAGAAGAGACTTTCTGGGACACTGAATCCAATCCCCTGCTATTGCAGGCAATCATCTCATGTAATCCTTATAGAAAACTTATTTAGGGAAGGGCGAAGATTCACCTTCTCTTCTACTATATCAGTGCACTGTTCACTTTCACTAAAATCTACTATCTTGCTGTTAAGACTTTGTGTTAGTTTTCAAAACCCACTGAGGCAGATAGCTTGAACCAGATCAAGTGTGATTTGTCTTGCTCTGGTCCAATTGGCCAGCTGAGGATTTTTAGTAGAAGCAGAATCCCCAGGTAGTGTGTAGCCAGTTCAGCCAAGCCAACAACGTATCTTCAGAGCCTACTTTACGGCATAAGCAACACAGGGAAGATATAGCCAGTCCTGTTGTGCTCTGATGACCCTCACCAGACAGTAGCCTCTTGATGCTCGCTACAGGTGGACATGGAATAGAGTAACCCACAGGTTATTTTTACTTATGCAAGGGACCAGTCCAGCCCCAGTAATCAGGATTATAACAACATGTCCAGCCACTTTTGTTTCCCCTCCCCTCAGTACCTGCACAGAGCATAGTTCACCAAGGCACAGGGCTCTTTGACTTTGTACTTGTCAGTAGAGAACCTCATATATCTTTCACGTCATAAAATGATAAATTGCAATCATAACAGAAGTTCCATAGAGGATCATTTAAATCAAAACCCATTTGGATACCTTTGAAGGTCATGCAATTCTTGTGTTCTGTTGCTGAGATTAATTTGGTGGCATAGCTATTACCCTTAAGGTTAACAGGAATAACAATATGAACGCAACTGCTAGGAGGATACTATGTTCTAGACAGATTTCCATTATTTTAAAGCTGAAAGAAGAGAGAACTGGCTTGAAGCAGAAATAGAATCGTTCATGTATTGCCAAGGTACTTGCTAGCTAAAACAAACAAGAATAAGTTATCTCTAGAAGCCTAAAAAGCAGAGGTATAAGTCACTTGAGGCAGCGGAAAATATAACAAGATAGATAAATACTACAAAATAATAGATAAAAGTGACTGAATTTGAAACAGACACTTCCATGAGCCACGCAGGTCTCTCACTTGTCCACATCTTGCCTTAAATATCAGGTACCTGACTGAGGGATGAGTGGAAGATGCAGTCCCATGATGGCCACTGGAGGCTGCTCTGGACCTGGTTTAAAGAAACTAGGTTGCCTGTCTATGTTCTGTATCATGAGTTGCAGGAATACCTGACCTGTGTTGAATTCCTGCTCCCAACTCTCAGCCTGACCTCAGACCATCAGAAACCCCTGTACCCCACCCTGAGCACAGACTCCTCTCCCCTAGCTAGACCCAAGCAGAGGAGACAGTGTGGCCCACTCACAGTCATCCCAGTCCTCTACCATCCATAGAGATCATAGCCACACATTTACCATGCAGTACCCTGATGTAATCCCAGAAAGCACCCTCCTACCTACCTACCCCACCATTGTAACTTTGACCATCCCTTTAATGCTGGAGCACTCCTGAACCTGTATCTACCTGTATCCCAGAGATCAGCCCTCCAAGCTATCCTCCTGAGTCCCCATTGATTCAAGCACCCCAAAATCTATTCTCCTAAGGCAGCAGTTCCAGGAACCCAGCAACACTCAATCCCTAGTCCATATTTGCTACATAGCTTCACACTTGCCCACCTGCTCCAGCTTCAGAGATCCCAGTTTCTGAGTAGCAGGCTCCAAACCTCTTAACAACCTGTCAGCAGATAACCTCAGCCCTCTGATATTGCATCCCAGTGTTTGCAAATTTTAAATATCAGATCTATTCTAACTACCCAAGATTTTCCAAGCAGGGCCTACTTTCACCATTTAAGCTGAAGCCACGTAACATCATGCTATCCTTAAAAGTGGTATACTGATACAAAGAAATTTTCTATGCCATGTAATCCCCATGAGTGGTAAGAGGCAGGTGTAAAAACCAATTATTTGGGGATCTGGTGTCATACATGGATGCATCAAGACTTCCAAAATATGCATGCTAGCATAACTGTTTATAGTTTATATTTGCCGAGTGGGGAAAGCAGGTAATAAATTTATTCTGGTCTTGTAATCCACCAGTATTTTGTAACCGAGGGAGACTGCAGAAGTGAGTTTTACTTTTAGAATACTTCTGTCATAGAATCACAGAAAATAAGGGTTGAAAGAGAACACAGGAGGTCATCTGGTCCAACCCCCTGCTCAAAGCAGGATCATCCCCACCTATATCATCCCTGTCAAGGTTATCTACCTCTTTTAAAATTTCTGAGGCTCTTTAAAACCTCTACAGATGGTGATTCCACAACCTCTCTGGATAGCCTGTTCCAGTGCTTTGTGACTTTCCTAGTAAGAACGTTTTTCATAATGTTTAACCTAAACTTCCCTTGCTGCAGCTTGAGACCACTGCTCCTTGTTCTGTCATCTGCCACCACTAAGAACAGTTCAGCATCATCCTCTATATAATCTTACGGTATTTGAAGGCTGTTATTAAATCCCCCCTCGGTCTTCACTTCTCCAGACTAAATAAGCCCAGTTCCCTCAGCTTCTCATCAGTCATGTTTTCCAGTCATCTAACCATTTTCACCTCCTCTCTGCTGGACTCTCTCCAATCTGTCTTCATCCTTTCTGTAGTGAGGAGCCCAAAACTGGACACAGTACTCCAGATGTGGCCTCACCAGTGTCAAATAGAGGGCAAGAATCACTTCCCTCAATCTACTGGCAACACTTCTACTAATGCAGCCCAGTACACAGTTAGCCTTCTTGGCAAAAAGGGTACACTGTTATCTCATATTCAGCTTCTTGTCCACTGTAACCCCTAGGTCAGGGGCAGA